CAACCCAACAATCCAAGTTTGTTGGCACGTTGCCTTAACCTTGCCATACTGGGTTTATTGACCTCCAATCTCAACCCAACTATACCAGGTTTGTTGGCACATGGCCTCAACCCAACAATCCAGGTTTGTTGGCACGTAATACCAGGTTTGTTGACTGGCAGCACAAACCAGTACAGTATTAACCAAACCACACTATGTTGACATATATAATAGATAAACATATATCAAGTAAATACAAAAACAGGAAGATCTACAGATCACTACCGCATAACAACATCCTAAACACCAGGATACAAGTCTAAGAGATTACTACAACATAGCAACATCCTATATACCAGGATACATAACTTAGTGGGCCAGCATGGGTGCCTTCGACCCATTAGTACAATGAGGAAAGCCCACCTCTCAATATGATTAAAATATGAACAATACGCTACTTTGAATATCGGCTCTACATGTAGCCTATTCAACAGATAGATACTTAACTATAGCTCGAAATACCTAAAATACCCTTAAGTAAAACTTTGTCAACCCTGATCTAATTCAAAGTCAATGGTAAAGATCCAAAGGAAAATATCCCTTCCCAGTGGAGTACGCCCTGTATACCAAGAGAGTAAACCCAACGTACTCTAATTTTGACCAAAAAGCGGGGAGTTAACTACATACATGCATCGTACCTCCAGGTACGCCCAACGTACGTTACCTAGTTCCAAAACTCCATTAAGAGCTTATTCCATTAAGCCCTTCCATCCAAAACTTAGATCCAAGCCCAAAATGATGTCCTAATTCATAAAGTTTCCAACTTTATGACATTGCATGGCTATTAAGTGCTTAATGTCCAATTAAAACCCTATGTTCTTAACCTAATAAGACCATCTAACACATGCATGGGCTACATATAACACTCAATATCATATTTTTAGGCAATAAAACTCTCTAAAATGTCCAAAAGGATTCTCAAATGACTTAGAGTAGCCCATACTCAAAATGCCAAACTAATGGGACCAAAATGTTCACAACTTCAATGCTAACAAGATCTTAAACAAATCATCATCAAGTTCAGAAATTTTTACCTTAAAATGATGCCAAATGGTGATAAGATTATGGATCTAAGGTGACTTACTCTTCTAAGGTGGTCCTCTCTTCTTCTCTTTCCTTCTTAATCACCAAAATACCCACAAAAGCTCAAGAGAACTCTCAAGGTAGATTAGAGTTCTAGATGGAAAAAATGGCAAGTGGAGGATAAAAAGGGAGTGATAAATGAAGAGTTAATGATGTTTATATATGGACCAAACCCTAAAAATTATGTTTGAGGATCCTTCACGTACTCCCTGCGTACGCGGTGTATGCCTAGCATACTAAGGACCGCACATGTACGCCCAGGGTACCAAGCCTTGGCCTGATTTTGCGAAAATATCACTAAGGGCCAAAATGTGACATCCCCAAAATCACGGCCAGAAAAGACCGATTTCATTTATGCTTTTAAAATAATTTAAGAGTAAATCCATTGATTTAAAAGAGTTGTGGAATTTGTTCCCAAAACAAAATATGATAAAATAAAGTTTATCAAATCATTTCATCAAGAGATTCATTTTCATTATATAACAATATTCGGGATGTCATGTTCCGATACAAACCAAAAGCATAAACAACAAAAGATAGACCATACAACAGTTACATATAACAACTGGTCTAATATCAAAAGATCTTAATAAGTCATCCAACTTATGCCCTCGCGCCACTTCCTATAATACAAATAAACTGAGTGGGTCAGGCTTGGGAGCCTGGTGAGCATATAGGGTTTTCAACCCGCAATAAATAATTATATTTAATTTCATCATCCAACAATAACCTGATTACCCATTCCCGTTATCCTCACTTTACGTCCTTAAAACAACATCTATTACAAGGGACCTAATCTAGGATTTTCATCGGGACGGACATTACTACAAGGGGGTTTCCTCAGCAATAGATGTCCTAAAGGCAACCATGAGGGGGATAGAGTACACTGGTGAAAACATCGTTCACAACACTTATAGGTTATGAACCTGCTAGCGTTCCACAGGACTGTCTAGAAAGAGTCTGTGGTCGTCATCCATACTACGCTAGATGATTAGGTCAACAACAACAACATCGAGGCCTCTCATCAGTTTATCACACATCAACTATCTACCCAAGTTCTACCCAACATTTTGTAGATAACAATATACATATGCATACATATGCAACTTAAAAACTGATAAGATATTTATTTAATACTCGTTCCAAATATACAGATTCATTCCAAGTAACAGATAATATATATCTATATACTCATAGTACGTATTCACTCGTAGATACTTTATATCTATGTGTTAGAAGAAAAGGAATATACACTCACTTGATTAGAAGATGATCAAACAGCACTACGGCTTGCAAAAGTAGTATTCTTCGGTAGATCTGGAAGATCTTCACACACCGGGCTTCTCACAGGCAGAGCTTCGGCTCGGAAGCTCTTTTCTTCTCGGGATCTTTGGGCTTCAGGACTCGCTTCGGGTCTCGGCAAGATACCAGGGCTTCAGGCAGATAAAATAGGGCTTAGATAGGGTATCGCGAGTGGGAAAGTAAGGGAGTAGCAACCTAAATCAGCTGACCCTTGATTTCTATTTAAAGGGTGAGTTTTTTGGGTTCACATCGTGAGTTTCTAATGCTCACATCGTGGGGATTGATCGTCACTGCATATGTCACTCGTCCACTTGGGTCTGCCAGCTTCGGAAGGGTCAAATCTCTAAATTCATGTCGTGAACACAGTGTTCACGTCGTGAACTCTAACACAGTACCGGGTTTCGTGCCCCGAACTTCAAAAATTCATATCTTTCGCATATGAGCTCCGTTTTTGACATTCTTTATATGCACGCATAGGTAAAAACAAGATCTACAACTTTTGTTTAGACTCCGTCAGCTAATTTTGACTTTATTTTTATTATATATTTATTATATTATTTTTAGTAGGCCGGAACAGGAAAACTCCGTTAGAAAATCATAACTCCTTCGTCTGACCTCCGTTTTCATCTGTCTTTCTGTCATTGCACTACTATTGATGAGATCTTCAATTCTCATTTAGAAAGTTTTGGCTAAATATCTCTCGATCTCATATTCGAACTTCGAGTTGTCTACTGCTAAGTCGAAACTTCGGAAAATCATAACTTCCTCATATGAAGTCAGATCTAGACGTTCTTTTTATCTACACTCTCGGTTTAACATATTCTACGACTTCCGTTTAGATTACCAAGGCTAGATATCGCTCTATCTTAAATTCGTATTTTACATCATTCAGTGTCGTGCCGGTTCTGTCGCGAAACTTCGACAGGTCATAACTTCTTCGTTATAACTCGGATTTCGACATTCTTTATATATTTGGAAACCTCGTCACGACTACTACGTCTTCATTTATCGATATCAGTCTTATCTAACGTTTCATTTTCACGTGTATTTTCATTCTTAATTCATTTAACCTAAACTATTACATCACTATTAATGACAAGCCCATAAACACGGGCGTTACACAAAATATAGTCAGTTCTCATACTAAGGGGGTTTAAAGGCAAATACTTCAAAATCGAGATGTTACAACCACACTTCGACCAAGGCTACATGTTTAACATAAGAATATCTTTATTCTTTGAAAACATTATAGCTCGGCCAGCCGAATACATTCACAAAGGTCGAGTACCACGCTTCGACCAAGGCTATCTGCTTACCCTAAGAATATCTTTATTCTTTCAAAACATTGTATCTCGGTTAGTCGATTTCATTCACAAAGGTCAAGTACCACACTCCGACCAAGCCAATCTGCTTAGCCTAAGAATATCTTTATTCTTTTAAAACATTGTAGCTTGGTCATTCGAGTACATTCAAAAAGGTCGAGTACCATACTTCGACCAAGGCTGCCTACTTAGCCTAAGAATATCTTTATTCTTTTAAACATTGAAGCTCGGTCATACGACTACATTGACAAAGGTCTAGAACCACATTCACACCACGCTAACTACTTAGCCTAAGAATATCTATTTTCTTCAAACAATATAGCTCAGTCAGCTAACTACATTCACAAAAAGGTTGAATGTTATATTCCAACGTGGGGTTACTGGTTTAACCAATGAATACATTTATTCTCTGCACAAAGTAACTTGGTTAGCCACACACAATAATGAATGGGACAACAACAACATCCTAACCAAAGATACTTGATTAAGAGTATATAACTTAGTGCAACCAAGAAATTCAACTTCCTGGGAATAGAGTGTAATATTCAAACCTAGTTTAATTACTTGGATTAAAGGCACATTGAATCCTAAAAATCCATAACAATTAAACAAACACACTCGAGGATCAAGCACTCATTATTCTCAAAAACGGCATCACAAGTTACCATAAAGTTCGAAATCCCTTACAAAAGACCTCGGATAAACCATAAAGGAAATACACAAATAAGAAATTATCATATAGCTCATCTTACACTAGCAACAATAGGAGAAAATAAACAGGAAATTTAGTATCAAGAAACAACCACAGGATGCATTAAACCATAAGAAAATAACAAGTCAAGTGGTACACAAAACCACCATGCCAACACTTGTAGACGCCCCGCCATCACCAGAACAACCAACCAAAAACCATAATGAAGCGACCAAATCCCGTAACTACAAGGGAAAACCTAGCCCAGATAGATAGTCACCATTAAAAAAAGAAGAAAATGCATCCTCTATCTTCTGAAAATGTGTACGATCATAGCATGGTATGTCGGTAGCAGATAATCCCAAGTTGTGCTCTGCGTTCATCATCTGACAACCCAGTCTTCGATAATAATCGATACAAATACTTTGCAAATCTCGATTAGGATCATAAAAGGAAGAATTAACAATAAGCTTATCCACAAACTTAGTCGTCTCATTAGATCAAACCCATGACATATCTTCATTCACCTTACGCAAGCAATTATCCAACCGAACCTCACTCGCCTATAAATATGTGTTTTTCAAAGTAGATTCATTCAAATCACTCTTTAACTTTCGAACACCATGCTCCAACATTGCTATTTTATCCAAGAACCCAGTGTTATCCAATTCAAGAGATGTTATTGAAGCCTTTAACATAGCAACCACCTCCTCCATATCTCGATAACCCGCCAAGTTCCTCTCAAGGATAGCCCTTTCATTCTGCAACACGACCAACTCATTCCTCATCTTATCCACCTCATCCTCAGGAACCATACCAATAATAGGGAAAACTTTCTCCAGCTCAGCAACCTTCTCCACAGGACTCACATATGGTCATGAAATGTCTGCATATTATAGGAAACTCCTCCAGAAAAGCTACATACAGTCTTATAAGGTCATACATCCTCATAAACTCATCATACATACCACGATTCTCCAACTAAAATGTCTCATTCTCATCAAGCCATGACATAACCTCATAACCTAAAACCATGTTCTCTAAAATTTTGATTTTGAACATATCCCATGTATGTTCCCGATGACCCTGACCAACACTCAACTGAGTGCCAGGGGAAGTAAATTTTTTTAAAAAACAACATAGCTACCTTGGGCTCCATTAAGCTTTGATCTTGCCTGTATTCCTAAGATGAAACAAATATTGGACCAAAGTTATGGGGCATTAGCATCACTAGGAGGATATTCGCTTTCAGTTGAACGATGTAAGTGGAAGCCCGACCCACACCAAGGCTATTGATAAAGAACCAAAAAGCACTAGGATCCAAGGAACGAGACATCTTCACAATTCTACCACTACTACCCTCATTACCAAATAGAACAACCGCAAGAGTTGCATAATCAATTGAATCACTGCCCCTTTTTCAATGAACCATGGGTTGTTCTTCACCTGCGCCTTCATCATCGCTCCTAGAAACAGTAACAGTGACGGTGGTAACATTTGGAGTTTTCTCACCTATATCATCATCATATGAGTCATGAACTCTAGCTGAAGACTATGATTCCTCCTCCTAATTTTTTTGAATTACTACCCTCACTCCCGCTACCATCAAAGCTGTCATAAAGATTGGAAAGATCGAAGTCATTCGAACCAAGATCACGAGCTGAAATTGTAATGTCCCGAAAATCATAAGATAAAAATTCATTTTAATACAATCAAACACCAAATATCTTTTACTCAAACATTTAGAAGTATTTCATAATAAAACTATTATCAGAGTACAATCCCAAAATCATAAAGTTACGGAAGAACATGGGTGTATGCACTACGATCAAGTCGGGCCCTTCCCTTTTGAACCGAACCCTGGTCTTGCATACATATTTTCCAGGAGCCACCTCCGAGTCTTTCATACAATTCCAAGGGTTACCCCTTGGTCTTTCAACAATACATAAGCCAATGGGCCAACATTGGTGCCTTCGACCCATAGATATAGTGATGAGACTCACCTCAAACTACTAAAACCCATAGATAAATCTCTAGTTGCAGATCCACTAAAATCCCCCGTGCTATCAATCACAAAATGACATCCAATTAATAATTGGATCCCGACTCACACTAAGAGTCCAAAATTAGGGGTAAAGACATTTTTACCCTTGCTCAAACTTGGCCCAAGTCCAAGGCCCAATACACTTGTCGAAAAGCCCAAATTCTAAAATAATCATCCAAAGCCCAAATATGGCCCAATTTTCCAAATTGGGCCCAAAACCCATCGTGGGCCTAATCCAAGAAGGCTCAATATCCTAAAAGGCCTAAAATATCCGTTTGTTAACCCTGTTCAAACTTTTGGTCGATGGACAAGGTTAAAAAGTGAAAACATCAAGAAAACCCAACAGACTGAGTACACCCCGCGTACTTAGTTGGTACACTAAGCGTACATCGGCTCGACTCAGTACGCTTTGTGTACCAAGAGGTACACCCCGTGTACGCACACTGCTCACAATCCATTTAGAAAAGGTCTTAATGCCTTAATCCAAAGCGTCCAATACTCATAAATTGTTCCAAATCATGCCTTAATCTATGAAGTTGTTGACTTTGAGATTTTGCATGGCTCAAAGGTTCACAAATCCAAGTTCTAACTTTACAACTTCAACAAAGGACCTATTACTCATGCATGGGTTGATATTATCTGTCAAGATTGCATTTGCATTTGGGACACCTAAAACGTCTAGATCTAGGGACCAAACTCCATGAGCAAACTCATTCTCATAAAGGCAAACCAAAGAGACCAAAATGTGACATAAACCACCCAAAAGAGATGACAAGATTACATATTTTACCTTTAATAAGTTTCAAAAGATGAGTAACTTCTAGATCTCCAAGCGCTACGCCAAGTGATGATTCCTCAACAAGCTCCAATATCTTAAAAATGCACAAAAACACTCCAAGATTCCTCACAATAGCTTAAGAACTCCAAGATGGTGGCTAGGGGTCGAGATTAGGGTTTAGGAGGTATGGAGGCTGATAAGAGGCAAGGCCTAATGAATAAAAGAAGCTTAAATAGGGGTAAAACCCTAGAAATTAGGGTTTCTATATGAAGGGATTACACCCTGCATACCCCTTAGTATGCTTGGCATACTCAAAAGGCATCTGTGACCCATCCAACCACTACGCCCTGTGTACTTGGTGAGTATGCCCCGCATACTCGACTAAGCTCCAAAACACTTCAATTTCAATCAGCTATAACTCCTTTGTTCTAAGTCCATTTTCGACGTTCTTTATATCGACAAAAAGGTAACGAGAAGCTCTACACTTCTATCAACTCATCCTAGCCTTAAAACTTCCCAAACAAAACCCAATATTCATAAAGACCCAAACTGCCAAATCAATGCTATACTTTTGGCCTCCGAAACACAATCAAACACTTGGATCACTTAATCTATAATACCCTCATCCAAAAAGGCTAGTTTCTCTCTTCCCACAAGGCCCGAAGCCTTATGATAACTGATTATTTGGGCCACAGCCCTGAATAATGAAGCGATTTGAAACCAAGTGTTACATAAATCTTACTCTCAACAAAGTCATACAAAAGAAAGGGAAACCGAGTTCCACCTGCAAAAGTAAACAAATAAACGACTTGTGCAAATGTTGATAAACGATTAGTGTTAGATGTAATTTCATGCATCTTATAGGGTAGTTTTTATTATCATTTAGCATCATATTTTGTACATTTGCATGTCATTTATTTAAATAATGTTCAGCTCATGTAGTTCGTTAGAATTGTTGTACTCCTCATGTTATTATGTCAATTTCAGATAGTTCAAGTGCAGAAGTGCTTTGGGAGCAGTTGGATGCGCGTTTGGAGATTACAATGGAGCTTGGAACTTATGTAGTATGTTGAGGAATTCTTAGAAGATGTTTTGGTCAAGAAACATTTGATCGAATTGATCATACAAAGATGGAATCTGCAATCTAAAGCTAAAGGATGTTGCTGGCAACTTTGACACCCTATCAGTATTTTGACCATATCTCATGAACCGTAACTCCGATTGAGGCGATTCAAAATGTTCTGAAAAGTACACTAAATTTCGGACGTCTTAGATGAAACATGCGATCACAAATATTGTCCATGAGATCGCATGGAGCCTTTATGCGATCATAACTTTTCTCGCAACTTATTTTCGAGGTTTTTTAGTGCCAAAAATTCATCCAGAAGAAGAATATGAAAACATGTGATTGCAACGTATGTACATGCGATCTCAACTTCCCTCTATGCGATCGTAATTTTTCGAAAAAGTGTCGAAATATCATCCTACTTCATTAAAAAGGGTCGTAACACGATTTCTCAAAAACATGTGATCGCAGCCTCAATACATGCGATCTAAAGTGTTGCCGATTTACCTGATGGGCTTATAAATAGACCCTCATAAATTTCCTGCAACCTAAGTTGGTGATTCCTGAAGTTCCAGACAACGAAAATACGATTTTGGAGGCGTTTCTTCTCCGATTTCAACGATTTCTGAAGATCCGAAGACTGTGGATCATCTCCTTCAACTAGATTAGTAAGATTAGTTGTTTGATGTCTCTTTTCATCTGTTTTCATCAAATTTTAGCCATGTATGGCTAAAACCCTAGTATTCAATTCTGCATAAGACAAGTACTTTTCATGTGATTAATCATTAGATCATGTTTTTGATTTGTGTTTCTATCTAGATTCTTCAGTTTTGAGCCTAATGAATGTTTGATTTGAATTCTTGTTAGTCTGATCACCTAGCTAGGGTTTTATCGTTCGAGTTAATCAGTTAATAGAATCTGTAATTGTTCTTGTCAACTGGTAAAAAGTAACAAGTAGCGGATTGGTTCCGTTTTGGGATTTAACTCTGGTATAAACTGTAAAAATTATATCTTTACGCTTCCGAGCTTGTGAGAAGTATTGGGTATTGCTGGGAATTTTACAAAGAACTTAATGCAAATTTTCATGTCTTAATTAAGAGCTTGTTTGATTAGACAGTAAAAACTTAGGGTTAATTGAAGAGCTTTTTTTGGTTAACTAAATAAGGTAAAAGAGATTATACTAGAGCTTGTTAGTTTTTCTTAGTACCATCTTAGATAAACACATCTCAAATAATCAAATATGGGTTAGTTGCATGATTAGGAAAGTCGCAGTAGAGCTGAAATCGTTTTTTAATTGATTTTCATTTATTTTAATATCACCGCAATTTAGTTTTTAGTTCATAATTAAAATCAGCCCCCTTTTATATTTTGTTTTTGACTAGATGTGCCTAATGCATAAAGGCATCGACTATTAGGCTGTGTCCCTAAGGATTCAACTCTGCTTCCCTGTGCTATATTTTTAGTGCAACCAGTTGTGATAAATTTTATTTGCTTAATATGCGTACGACAGCGTGTTAACAATTAACAAGAAAGTAAAGCAATACCTGGTCCTCGTACAAACAATGAAGGAACAACAAACATGCACAATCAATAAGCGCTCATACTAGCCTTACCCAACACATCTTCAGGGAATTTTTTTCATCATCACATTCAAGCAGGAAATCTTAATTAATTTTTAACTTAGATCAGGAGTCCTATCAGTTTTTTGAGTGATAATCATACCATGAGCATGAAATTCATTACGATAAGGAAAGTAAGATGCATTTAACTAAATAAATTCATTCTTCTGGTCCATGATAGACTCGGGGAGGCCCTCCATAAAACTTCACCCCTAGAACTAAAGCAATACCAAGAGCTATTGCTACAGATTCGAAAGAGGTACTAAAACAAATCGGCAGTAGGAACAACGAGAGAGGCATCGAAAAGCAACTCAAAGCAAACAACTTTCAAAATAGAATTGGGCTTCAACTTACAAGTATGGATTCTATATGAATCAATGACCAAACCAAAGAAACAAGAAAGGGGAATACGAAGGCAAGCCTCAGAGTAATAGAGATAAAAACCACCATTACCTGCTGGCGGAAGATCAATAACCGATGTAGGACCAGGAAGAGTGGCTCCATATTCATCATCAAGATGAAATTTCGTGGAAATCTGGTCAAGACGTTCGTGAGTAATGAAAGAATGAACCACATACATTATCGGACGAGACGAATTCTGAGTCAAAACAAAAGAGATAATCAGGGCAAGGTAGAACAAACAAGAACAAATTATGAAGGTATCAAAAGAAAAACTGATAGATGGATGTGAGAAGCATTTATGGAAGAGGAAGCGGCAAAGCCAACCGCTGCGAAAAAAGATCAAGTAGCTAGAAACAAGGAAGCCTAGGCGCGTGAACTATCCTGCCCGGCATTTGATTAAACAAGAAGAATTGACAACACCTTTTAGAGCCTAATATTATAAATCATTTGGCAAAAGTTTACAACAATTAGGTTGGGGCTTATGTAACACCCATAAAATTCAAGCCAATTTAAAAAATTTAGAATATTTAAAACCATTAACTTATTACAATTTGTATTCAAAATAGTTTAAACATCAGAGTATCCCCA